ACTGTCTCTTTGGTTTCTTTTGTTAATGGCTTATGAAAACCTATGATGATGGAAGGAATAGTCTAAAAATCCAGAAATCAGGTATAATAAATGTAGGAAAAAAACGTTCTGCTTTTGTCAATGAAGCCAAGTGTCTCTACCAGGTAGCACTGGAGTTATGATGCAGCACTAGACTTTTAGCCATTTTTTAAACATTTAAATAGAAGCGTGTAATGACTCTGAATGTAGGATACTTTCGAATGTAGTTGTCAGAAGCTACATCCCTATAAGTCAAACGTAGGAGGTGTGGAAACTCCATGAAAGGGTGAGCTTTTTGTCTTTACATAAGAGATCTCAATTCTGAACGAAAGAGCAAGAAGGCAAGATACAAGTCATTTCTCTGTGACTTCTGGAAAAGTACTTCGGTTTTGTGTGTCTCACTTCTTTTTACTGTGAAAAAAAAAAGTCAGACCAACTTCCTCAGTAGCTTCTCAATTGCTCCACAGTAGATTATTACAAGATTGTTGAGAGAACTGGACAGGAAGCCCATTTTTTAAAGCCCTCCTTAGCTGTCTGTGGGAGAGACGCATAGTCCTGCATTTTCATGAAAAAGCTGTCTGCTTATTCACGTACTGAGCAGCCCGTCTCATGTTTGCATTTCTAGGAGTGTGTTTTTGTTTCCCTGCTCGCTTGAGCTTATCAAGGACAGAGGCTGGGCTTGTCTGTGTGTCCAGCACAGTTCCCTGGCACACTTTGATGAATTCATGAATCCTTAGTGACAGAGTCTTTTTCAAAAGTAAGCAGATAGATTTCTGGCATTGTTTAATTGCACCTCCGTTCCAAGGAAGTGAGATGGTGAATTTTCTTAAGATGCTCGATGTTGTCGAAGAGCCGTCATCGGAGGTAACCAGGCTTACTTTAAAAAAATTGTCCCTAAATCGCTCAGACGACCGTTTCAGCGTGAGTGTTCTAAAAATGTTTAGGAGAGAGCAGCATCTTTATGACACAAGTCTAGATCTCCAAGGTGGTGACTTTGAAGGGCAATTCTGATTTGAATTCCTCAGAGAGGATGTGTGTTGAAAACTCACTCCTATCACTTCTATGACAGAAGAATGGAGCCATTTATCAGCCATATGCCCTTGAGAAAATTGCCTCCGTGTGCCTCAGTTTTCACATCTGTAAAATGGGGATAATAATAAATAATACCTATTTCATAAAATGGGGCTGAGGATTAAAGACATCAATATACGTGAAGTATTTTGAATAGTACCTGGCTGGAAGAGCTCCATCCTCTTCGTTGCTCATATTTTAAAATGAAATGTATTTTGGTTTTTGTATTGTGTCTTAGAGTAAAGCCTGGCCGTTAGCTTCAATGAGCAAAGCTAATTCTGGTTTTGTTTTGTTTTATGTATTTTCAAAGGAAAATGGCTCAACCAGTTTTGAAGTTTCTGGGTCATGCCCTGTTCTTTTCAATGGGATTTATAGTTTCTGTGAAAGGAAAGATCGCAAGCCCCGCGGAAGCACCAATTTTTGTTGTTGCCCCTCATTCAACATTCTTTGATGGAATTGCCTGTGTCGTAGCTGGGTTACCTTCTATGGTATCTCGAAATGAGAATGTGCAGGTCCCTCTGATTGGCAGTAAGTACTTTTAAGATGACACAGATGAAATGTTTTCAATCTCATGCCATAAATTTAAGTAAACATGTATAGTTTACTGGTAGACTTCTAAAATACTTTAAAATAAAATAATATTTCAAACATATTTCCTTTCTTTTAATGAGGTACTATATCGAAAGAATGAATGTATGAAAAAAGATTAGACTTCCCTATATGTACCCTTATAATTCTTTTAAAATCTTAACTTTATCACTGTACCATTATAGCTTCCTGTTCTTGTATATAAAAGAACAGTTTTTCTAAAACCAAGCTTGCTTCATTTTTTTTTTGAGTGAATTTTACCAAAGAATTTGTGAAAACAATGGTTACATGCTATTTTATGAATTTCTCCTTCAGGGTATTAGGCTGATAAACACATTACCTTTTTTCTCTTAACTCTGTTTTCTTCATTATTGTCCCCAAATCTCCACGAGGGACCAATGTGTAACTCTTTGAAAATTATGATGTGGAACAATAAGTGCTTCCTGCCGTAAAAAAAAATGAAGCAAGTGCAGTGTTATCCCCACCAGATGCTTGGGTCTCTCCCTGGGGTATTAGTCTCCAAGTAACTGCTCCCAGTTGTCCCAAGGTCATTGTAAGCATCAAATGATGAGAGAGTGGGTGTGAACGTTTCCTGATGTCGCCTTGGTACTCAGGCGAAATAATAGTAGTTTCCTGCAGCTTTGTCATTCAGCTAAGAAAGACACACACTCTTTTGTTTTTCAATGTAACTCCCTGCTTTGTGTAAGAAGGCATTTTCCTGAAAAATTCTGTAGCAATAGATTTTTTTTTTTGTAAATCGAGGTTAATTTTGCACGTGCTAGGATGTTATGTATTTAGAAAACTGTTCTGCTGAAAATTTTTATAAAATGAATAAGAATTGCTTCCTACTCCTGTGTACTAGGAATTCACATAATCGGTTCCCAGGCTATCCCTACAATAAAACAAGATAATCATGTAGTATATTCCAAAGGTTTAATGTTAACTGATGAAGGAGATCTTTAGGGAGAAGATTGCATTTGCTACTTTTCGTATTCCTGCTGCTAACTTCTGTTAAATCAATGAAATATTTTTAGGCATAAATATCCACCTCCCTTTCGAAATCTGTAGCTCAGTTACCATCAACTTTGAATTAGAGTGGTTTTTTTTTAAGTTCTTTTTTTAAGTTTGTTGTTGTTTTAATTTTGGATACAATTTGTTTTAGGATTTATCCAGTATTATTTCTTTGGTAGCTTTAGCAAATAAAAAAGAAAAAAATGACTTGGTTGTGAATTTTCATTTGTTTTAAAGGACTGTTACGGGCTGTGCAACCAGTGCTGGTGTCCCGTGTGGATCCGGATTCTCGAAAAAACACAATAAATGAAATAATCAGGCGAGCAACGTCAGGAGGGGAGTGGCCCCAGGTAAAACACAGTAGGTGCTGATTTAAGACACTGCAAGTTCATTTACTGTACATTTGTAAACGTATTCACTTGGATCCACAGGTAGCAGTGTCTTGCGGACACCTGTGCCAGATGTCTGTAGCATAATAGATGCAGAATAAATGAGTGAGCCTTATGAAATTCCCTTCCCATGAGATACTCCATGGAATTAAATGTACCATCCTTTTCTATTCTCTAAACTCTTTGAACCGATGTTTATTTTGCGTTATAAAAAGTAATTCTCTACCTCTGAACTTATTTACCGTTTAAAAGGTGAGATACTGTCGGGTTGTCGGAAAAGTCATGACGCATTTTTGCAATGAAAACCAGAAAAAGTACGTCATGACTTTTCCGAAAGCCCAGTGATTGCTCAGTTGTACGCAACAACCTGGTAGGCTCACCGGAAAGGTAGTTAAGATCTTTAATCTTATCTGAGGTGTATTTAGATAGTGCTATTCAGTTCAGGGAGGCATGTCAGAATCACCTGCAAAACCTTTTCAAACTTCATCTCACCACCCCCTTCCCCTGCAATGAATGACTTTTAAGGGTGAGGGGGTGGCACCATTGATGGGATAAAGAAGGCCTCATGGGTGATGCTAATTAGCATTCCTCTATCTTTGCCCATGTGAAAACAGATGATCGCTAGCAGAACAAATGTGTAGATGTTAGAGTACCCAGAGGAGTATGACCAACCAGGAGGTTTTAGAAACCAAGGCATGTGAGGAATGATTTAAAAAGTGACTGGAAGAAATGGCATTTAGAGTAAGGTTTTGATTTTTTCTCTTTGGATTCAAGGAATGTGTCTAGGACTGGTAGGTGGAAGTTAACATGTAGGTAGATTTAAGCCCAGTTTACTCATCTCAAGGAACTTTTCTGTCCAGAAGTAGAATGATCTGATGGGGAATCCTTTTCTGGAATTTTCAGGCATTGGCTAAGTAACCACTTGGGGGGGATATTGTAGAAAGAATTCAAGCATTAGAAATGGTAGATGACTTTTCATGCCCCTTCCAGCTGTGAGACTTTATGATTCATTGTTAATGGTGTCACTGTAGAATTTGCACTGAGTGAATCATGTTGGATATTGTATCCCATTGTCATAGGAAACAGATTTTTTTTTATTAGAGGATGGAATTTCACCTATTCATAATTTTATTTTACAAATAACCCATTAGGGTGGCGATTTGGCCTAACGATGCTTTCTCTCTCTAATTATTATACAGTACATATCACGAACTGCTTGGGTGCAGGAATTTTTTGTTTTGTTTTAGGTACTTAGCAATTTATTCATCGGTAAATTCTAAACGCTTCAGAAAATCAAGCTATTTTATTCAGCTAATGTTCCCCACTATCGATTACTGCATATCTTTCACAAGGAAAACGAAAGGGAGTGTGTTAAAAGCTAAAAACACTTCCTCAAAAAAAGATGCTATATTGTGTTTCACTTGTCAGCTGATTCAAGGAAGCATAAATCGTGTTATAAGCACTTCCTCCTTTTTCCTCAGTACAGACCTAAACTGCATGTTCTGGGACTGAGTATCACTTAATGTGAGAACTGAAACAAAGAAGTAGGAAATTATCTGGCTAAGGATGTACAAACGATAGAAGGCAGAATTTAATATTGCCCAAATGCACACTTTGACTGTGACTTATGTTTACATCTTTTAAGCCTATTCAGATCATAAGTACCATTCAGAAACAATGGCTATGTGTATATTGTATTCAAAGGTTTAATCCATTTTCTAATTATCTCAATGGTCAGACTACACTTGTTTTAGAGAAAAGCCAAATACCTGTAATCTGATTCTAGCTTTCATCAGCATCAAGGGTTAGCCTTTTATTTCATCTTTGTTGTACAAGAATTGGCAGCTATTTGTGAATAAGAAAGCAATAACGAGGTAACCTGTTAATTAGACTGAAATATTAAATCTATTCCTTTTCTCCCAAGATACTAGTTTTCCCAGAAGGTACTTGTACTAATCGCTCCTGTTTGATTACTTTTAAACCAGGTGAGAGAAATTAAATTATGCATTGTGACAAAGTAGCATGAAGGTTTCTCAAATGATTTGCTAACAATACGCAAAATACCTATGTTTGCTCTGAGCATTCCTTCTCTTCTGATAGAATGTTCTAAACATTATGACTCCACAGAATTTACTCCTTTACTTTCTCTTTTGGTGTCATAACCCCCTGTGCCTTGCAGTGTCCGTGTGTGTGTGTGTGTGTGTGTGTGCAGGACCGATGGCAGATTTTTCTTTTCCCCCAAGGATACTGTCAGAGACACCTGGGGTCCTGTGTCATCAAGTAGAAAACCTATTTCAATTATTATTATAATACCTGCAAATACCTTCCAAGGTTCACTCTTTTTTTTTTCTTGATATCATCAAGTCATGAATTTCACAGTAATGTGTAATTTCATAGTAATTGGCACTATTTTACAGCGTTCCTGTATTAGCTGCCAGACTACCCAGAGCCAGGTTAGAACTCATTTCTGGCAAGCCTGGTAGTGCTTGCTTCAAGCATTTGGTTTCCTCTAGGTTTTCTTCTCCTTGTAGTCTCTTTGTCTTACTTTTTGTCATTACTTAAAAGAAAAAAAAAATCCTGTTAAATAATGGGTATTTGGAAAATGAAAACAAGTAGCGATGTAAAGAAATAAATACCAAATTGCCTTAGCTACAGCATTGAGTATTGTGCTTACATAATTCTGAATTTTAAAAATCTCTCATTTTGGCAAACAGTAGGGATTTACCAACATTTCGCAAATGGTTTATGTGTAACTCTTAAAACATTCAGTATATGTGTACCATTTATTATGTTTTCTTTACCTGTAAAACTTGTATTCACATAAAGAGCATGTGACAACACTTCCTTATGGTTCTAGGAGCCTTCATCCCAGGAGTTCCTGTGCAGCCAGTCCTCCTCAGATACCCAAACAAGCTGGTAAGCGTCGTATTTCACTGTGGGAAGACTTTCAGACATTCCGAACATCACACATTCTCTAGGAGCCCTTTTACTATTTGAAAAAGGTTTTGAATAGACCCATGGTGGACACAGGTAGGGGCACTTGGGCTCCTTGCCACATTTGGTTCTTAAAAGTTGGCAAGACGGGCACATATTTGTGGCTACCATATTCCATACTGTGTTTGCCGCTATGAAACTACAGGAGGTCATTTCCTTAGCGCCTCCTAGTGTCGATGTGATGGTATGACGGAGTCTCAGATTCAGGGTCTCATTAGAAAAATTGCATAAATGTGCGATTTTTATTAAGCCTAGAAGGAAACTTTTCCTGATTCAGTGATCATTACTGGAGTAGAAGGACTGAAGTAGCAGGTTAAATTGGAGATAGGCTTGGTGTTCATTTATTCCCTCAGTTCTTACTAGCTGTGTGACTCTTGGCAAATAGCTTGAGTAAGAAAATATCTGAAAGAGCCTAACATCCTATCGAAAGTCCACGGCTGGCTCAGGAAAGAGCCTCCTCTCTCCAGCTAGGTTCATTGTTATCTTCTGGATATTGGTTATGTCACCATTTCCCTAAACATAGGTTTTTGGAGGATGCTTTGGTTCTGAGAGGAACTTTATGTACTAGAGAATTTACCAAAAAAAAAAGGCAAGATGTAATTATTAATTATCTATGTTATTTCAGATTAAGAGTTCTTGATCAATTCAGCTTTCGATTTGGTGACTATTTGGTCAGCTGTGGACATCTGTAATTAAAAATTTTAAATCTGCCAAGTTTTTACTTGTTATACTTCTGCCTGTGGGTTTGCATTTGTCGTTTATTCAGCTTCTTTCACTGTATACTACTTTACTCTTTTCTCCCTCATAAATTTTTTTTTGGAGGTTGGGAGAACTGATATATCTGTTGTTTCACTATGTACTACTATACTCTTTTCTCTCACAATACCCTATTTTGGGAGGGGGGAGAAGAACTGATATATTCTGGGTTTTATAAGCAAATTATCCAGATAGCTAAGCGTGCACAATAGTTTTTGTTTAATTCTTAGCAACTTAATTCCATAAAGTGATAGGTGGTTACGTATGGAAGACAGCTCTTTGCCATGTAGACATATAATCCAAAGAGCATAGATCAGGGCAGTGAAGTATAACAGTAATGATACACTTATTTTACTTTTTAACATATTGCTTTTAACTCAGAAAGGAAATACATGAATACCAATATTAAAATAAGGTCTTTGTTTTATGCGGTATTTTTTCGTCTGAACTAACAGTTTAAATACTTTTGTTATCGTAGGATACTGTGACTTGGACATGGCAAGGATATACATTGTAAGTTGCTCGTATCTATTATTTATAAAGTACAAATTTCTAACCAGATTCTTAAATCTTGCACCTGATAGGTCTCTGTAGAGAGCTTAACCACCTCGCCCATTAGCCTTCAGTGTCCCCATGTGCAGAATTCTAGTTGCCTGGCATGTTCTGATGGGCCTTAAAAGCGTTGATGTACCAATTCTAAAGAAACATCCCAGCGACCTAGTTTGCATCATCCTTAGCTCTAATTCTGTAGTTTCATTTTCATCGCAGATTTAGCACTACCTAGTGTCTTCATCGTTGACTAGAGCAATTTAGTCATATGGCCTGAAATTGTTGTGATGTGTCTGATTTGAGTTGAAAAAATAGCTAACCAAGCTTTCAGTTCCATTCTTGGATGTGAAAAGCACAGGGCTCAGCAGTTTCTAAAAACCCTTACGAGAGGGATACAGTTTCACTATTAAGCAAGCTGAAGTGAAATAAGCCTTTAAATAGAACAGAACATGGAGAGTTTCACTTTCTCCCCGGAAGCCTGTTTACATTTTGGTGAGAACCTGGATGTGAGGACTTTGCCCAGGGCCTTTCCCAGTAATCCTTTTTGATTCTGTTATACTCAGAATTCAGATAACCTTGTCAATGGGTTGACGGTTAGGTGACAACCACTTGGAAATATTGAAAAGAAATTCATTATTTGCCTTCAAGTACACTGTGTTTTTCTTAGATACCTTTTAGACAATCCAAACAACTTCTGAAAGTCAGATTTTTTTGCACTTATTTTCTCCATTGTGTGTGTGTGAGTGTGTGTGAATTTCTTTGAAATAATAAATTTAAATTATAATAGGTAACTGATAGGCCAGTTGCATCTGTTAAGTGTTTATTAACCTGTGAGACATTTTATGTTCCTCTTACGCTTTAGTTAGTCCTTGGGAATTGAAGTTAAGTAAATGACACCAAAAAATAACATAAATTGTAAAGGGTATGTGGACGTTATGTTATCGTTAACTCTTCAGGAAATCAGTTTATTCATTTGGCTAGAATATATGTTTCATGGCACTACTGGCTTTGGACGACTGGTTTTCAGCTTTTATTCAAGGGAAAATTAGAAGAAACAAGTAGTGTGAGAGCATTTTAGAAAAAGGAGTGTCTACAAATTGGGTGGATAAGTGTATTTATATTTCCTAGGGTGTGTCATCCTTGGGACCTTTCCAAGTTAAGTCCCTTAAGGAGATAGTGACTTTGGGTTCACTGTTCAGTAAGTGGGACTTTTTTTTAGTTTGGTAGCAGCCTGGGTAGATGTGAAGGTTAAACAGGAGAAGCCTTTTCTGGAACGGGGATCAGGGTTAGCAAATAGAGGGCTTTAGTTAGTCTAGCCTTCTACCTTGGGAAGTGTGTAATAAAGGGGAAAAGACAATAGGAGGGAGAATTCAGAAAAGAAAGAGAGGAAAACAGTGTTTTCAGAGTTAAAGATTTCTTAGGGCTTATAAACCAACACAAAGTCTTCAAAAGGCACCACTGTTTTGTCCAAAGGCCACATTGCACTCACCTACGGGAACTCACATTTCTACCTGATCGTCTGATCTCCTTCATGATATATTTAGCGTTGTGTCTGTTAGTTCTAAATCAGTTTCTCAATTGCCCTTGACCCAAGTGATACTCTAGACTCAGATTCTAGGAAATTCTGCACCAAAGCAGGTGTCCTAAAAGAGAGGAGTAATAAACTTAGGAGATACACTTAGAGAAGCAGAAGCAAGCTGTGGAAAGGCTGTTTTGTCGTTGGGTTTGTGTGCTGTGTGGACAGAGCAGGTTTAATGAGATGTTAGGTGTGGTTTTATTCAGAATTTTCAGAATAGAATTACCTACTCAAATCACTGAATTCCGAAGCTCAATTTAAATAATTAAAGAATAATTTATTTTATGGTAGATAATTTAGATTGACTTTGTTTGCTTGGGGTTGATAGGAAAAGGTTTTTTCCTTTTCAAGATGGAGTGTCTGAAAACTGATTCTTGTGTTAACAATTTATAATGAGTTATGGAATTGGTAAATGTGTTTCTTAAATTCCTTCTTTAACTAAACTCCTTGTTTAAATTCCTAAGTTTTTTTTGTCTTAAATAAGTCTCTCCAAGTAATTTTTACAGATAGATCGTATTTTAATTTCTTAATAGCAAAAGAAAAAGGTAGGTTGGTTGTTTTCATAAACGTGTAGTGTAATCCACTGTGCCAGATTTCTGGGTCATCTATCTAAATGAGGCTAAATAAAAAATCCAATAGAAATCTTATCCTGAAGCTGCAAGTTGGAACAACTGTTTCAAAAATTATTTTTGAGAGGGTTGGTTATAATCACTTCAACGAAAGCCTTGTCTAGCTTTACAGTGAAATTTGAAAAATTTCAGAAAATTTCCCCATAATGAAAACATTTACTAGTAACTGAGACAATTATGATAAACTTTCTACTTTTAAGAAAGACCCACTGATTTTTGTTTTTTAAAAGTATCAGAAAGGAGTTTAGAGTATTGTAATGTTCTACTCAGGTGCTTTCCTATAAATACATTTATGTGCCTTAAAAGGTGGCCTTGGGTAGTTTCTCTGGGGACTTAAGCCTATCAGCCTGAGTCATCAAAAGACACTTCAAATTTGGGGTTTAGTCTACTGAGCTGCGTCTCTGCCTCAAAAATACACATACGGCGTTGCATGTGACGATGGAACTTTTGAATATCAAGAATAGTTGCATCAGCCCAAGAAGCGTTACAGCCACCGTGTGGCATTTATAAACACAAAATATGCATGACGTGTGACATGGGTGCTGCATGCTTTATGGAATAATGTTAGTGATACTTGTAACTGCCATACAATGGGACCTTCTCTTTCTTGTCTTCAGCTTTCAGCTCTGTGTTCTTACGTGGTGCCAGCCCTTCACAAAGGTGGAAGTTGAGGTAAGTTCTTCAAAATGTGGCCGTGGAACTTGAAATGTGGCCTTTCCTCTTATTTTGAGTTTCTTGTCTAGATAGACCAGATGTGCAAACGTTGAAAGTTAAATCCACCTTCTTTAAAATAAGCACTGTGAGCAAATTGTGTATCTAAGCTCAGGCTATCAGATCCAGCCCTTAGCATTGTACCAGGCAAAGCCTCTACCTTCTGGGAACTCCTAACATGTAGTAACCAGCCTAACCAGTCTGGCTGGCTAGATTTGCATCCCCTGTTCCTGTCTTTTTATTCCTTTGAATGCTGGCCTCTGCCAAGTTGCATGATAACACCTTCAAGCCCCGACAAAAGGAGCTCTAGAGGTTGATGCAGCCCCACACTCCGTGAAGAGTAGGTTCTGTGAAAGCTGAGAGGTGCTGCCTAGGGTCATGAGAGATGCACAGAGGCCAGCAAAGCCCTCACTTTTGGACTCATTCAGCACAGTGAATGCCTGAGGAAATCCTATCTAGACGGCAGCTCATATCATTATTCACAGGACAGTCTTTTGGTTGGAGTTGCAGTGGCAGGCGGGGGGTGGGGGAGTAATTAGATCACTCTGAAAATTCTGGCCAGATCGTTAAGACTCAAGGTTGGTTCCAGAGCTTTTCTTAGTCTTTAGGAATGATGTGGGAAGGACCCCTGAGCTCAGAATCTGGTTGGCTGCAGTGGTGCCCTCAGGGAGCCCCTGAATCAGAGGTCAGAGATAGATATATATGTGTCTAAATGTAACCCTTCCTTTAAGTGGTTCCTTCCTCTAAATTTACCTTTTTCCGCTAAAACAAGATCTAGCAACAGATGTGGAAATGCACATAGAAACTGTACTTTTTTGTGTGGTACATATATCAGGGGTCAAACTACGTTACAACACAAGCACGCAAATTCCTCATTTTTTCACCCTGACCACTATTACCACATTTTCTTTCCCATGTCATGGCTGGCTGGCTTGCTTGCTTTTTATTTTTTTTCCTTTTCTTTTCTTTATTTTCTTTTTCCCTTCCTCCCTTCTGTTCTCTCCTTTTCTTTTCTTTTCTTTCTTTCTTCTTCCCTCCCTTCCTTCCTTTTCGATTACAATATTTGTATTCTCTAGCCCGTTCTTAGACCTGTTTGGATAACATTCTGGCAAAGAAAAGAATGTACCCTTTGTTCAATAACTTCGCAAACAAAATGGCTTTCAAACAGTTTAAAATACCTGAGTCGGTAGGAATTTTAGAATTGAGTTGCTGAGCAAGAGGATGGGAATTTGCGACTTCAAGTTTGGTGTTCTTATTTTAATCCTAGTATTTTAGATTTATGATGCTCCCTTCCACCCAGGGGGCTCCTGACAACTCTATAATTTTTAAATATTTTAATTCCCCACTGTGTAGATGAAGTTGAAACTGCATCCCAGCAGTCCTCCCTTCCACCTCTAAGCATGTCCACACCCTGGCTCAAGGCTGCCCAGAACTGGGCCCTGTCTCTGAGGCACCAGCCTCTCCACCACGTCTGAGGAGTCCCAGCTTGTGCTGCCCGCCTACACCGAGCTTAGTTAGACGTCTCAGCTCGCTTGGCTGCGCCAGTTGCAGTTGTCTTGGCTGTTCAGTGGCACCCCCTCTCTTTCCTTCTTCTTTAAAATTGATGGAAATCCTAGGTATTACTTTTAACATGTAATTTAGAACTTCATGAATATTAATTAGGTGAACCTAATTCAAGATATATTATTCGGCAATATGGCATTACGGTTTTATGCTTTTTAAAATCAACTCTGAGTGAATTATTCAAGTGCCCTTGTAGAGAGACGTTCGGCTATTTTGGTCACAGGTTATCTCTCTATGTTGACTGCTGTAGCCTATAGTGTCACAAGTCTCCCATCATTAATGATGACTGTCAAACTCTTTAGCTACCCAAATCATTGGATACCTAAAACCTAGCGAATGCAATATTGAGGAATATTTCCTTACCTCCTCTCTTGTCTTCCTCTCTGCTTCGCAGGCACAGAGACTTGTTTTTAAAAAGCTCAAATGTTTACTTGCCTCTTTGATCTTAAAAATACAATAAGTTCCAAACCTCAATCCCTATGTAATTGGTCTTCTGGCATCTGTGAACAGCGATGCCATGTGTGTCTACAGAATGGTTCTGCTGAAAGTTATTTTTTGAATCAGAATGTGGCCTAGTGGGTGTGCTTAAAGACCCCTAAAAGATCACTAAATCTTTTAGTGATTACTTTGATCATCCAGCTACTTCACAAGCATACGGCTTAGGGACATAGGCAATAAGAGCTAATCGGAAACGTCCCAAAACATGATCGAAATGAAGAGCCTGCCAGTTTATCTCATGAGAGAGCATACCTGCAAAGTCAGACTCTGTAGCACTGTGGAGCCCACTGCTAGTTCATGAATGGAAACACGGGGTTCACGTTGCCTGTACAGTCAGATTCCTTCTTCAGAGGCCATATCTCAGTTTTCATTCACTGCATGTTCACTTTAAAGCCACACATTGTATTGTAGATGCATCAGAATGTTTTGTCTGTAGGCATACACATATATTATGCTTCATGAAAACTCCTTTGCGAAGCTCATGGTGAGTTTCTCATGGCTAACATTAGACCTATGACACTTTATGGTGGGTAATTTATTGCCTTAAGGAACAGAAAGGAATTTTTTTTTATTAAAGCTTTTTTTCTAATTTAGGAAAGGATTGTAGTTAATAATGAGGGTCAGGATCAACACCTATAGATTTATGTCACTTCTAAAATCTCCAGATCTAATTACTTGGGGAAGGTTCAAATACATTTATGTAGTTTATTTAAATATCCAAATGCACTAAAATGATTTGTAGTTTTGAATCTAAAATGAGGCTTTTAGAAAGCCTCCATCGCGTGCGCGCGTACACACACACACACACACACACACACACAGACGTACTTCTTCTGACAAAGCTTATTTCTTTTGGAACTTGGTACAATTCTGGAATTGGTAAGTTGTCGTAGTAGAGAAATGGAGTGTTACAAAAAGGATGTTTGCTGCGGTTTTCCTTTCAGTTCTGCCACGACCTACCTGTATGTGTTTGAGCGAATTACTTAAACCTCTGTAAGCCCGGGTTCTCACTGTAAAGTGGGGATGACATGTATTGTGTAGAGCTGTGAGGATTTAATAGGGTTGCTTATGAGCTGGCACATGGGGAGTGTTAACTGTTGCTCGTAAGTAGCCTCCTTGTTTTGCATTTTATCTTTTGGAAGACTTAAAAGAAGAACCACGCGAAGCACTAGAGCTGCACATTTGTTACGAAGGGCCTGTTAAAACTCCTCTCTGTTACTTGGAAAAAGATGAGACCATGTGTGTAGCATCATCACTCATCCGTCTTTCTCCTTCTTCTCATAATCATACTTTTAGGAGAAAGGAATGTGCTTGATGTGGTCAGGAAACAATGAATAAACCAGTGTTACTGGGCCTGAGGGTTTGTATGAAGGACTGGCTCTGGATGACAGCTGGCCTGACATCACAGGCTGAGGAGTTTGAACTTGATCTTGTGAGCCGCCCAAGAGGAGGGAGGAAGCCCTGGGACCACAGTGCAAGCGAGAGGTGTTGGTGGTGAAGCATGTCAGTTAGTCTCCCCCTTACCTGGGACAGGATGGTGCAGAGTCAGCATGTGAAGGGACCACCGTGAAGTGAGGGGGGCAATGGAGCTGTGCAGCCAGTCGCAGGTGAGTGGGGAGGGATTGCAGTTCACACAGGCTGCTGGAGCGGAGGAAAGACTACCCTCTTCTCACTTAGGTTCAGTGGCCGGGACTGTGAGATAGATGGACAACAGGTAGATTAACAGGGGGAAAAGTGTTAATATAAATATCGATCATATTTATATTATATCGCCAATATTTTATGTTAATTAAGCATGGAATGTTTTATTAATCATTTCCTTAATTAAATATTATTTTATTAATTTTTTGAATCATTAGTATTTTACACTTTTTTTTTTTCTAAGCTGAGCCATCCTGCCACCTGTTGGCAGCTCAGCGGCAGCTCAGCTCGGGCTGGGCATCGAACTGCTGTTGCTCCGCGCTCAAACTCTTGAGNCCCTGTACACACACCCACTTCCAGGCCAGGCTTCTTGTCTCAGTCTGTTGAAGTGATTTAGCCGGGGACTGTTCGGTGGGAAAGACCAGGAAGTGCAGTAACTTCATAGTTTGTTTCTCTCAGAGTAGCTTATCTTGCTAAACTCGATGCCTCACGAGGGGTGGGGGGCAGGGGAGGAAGGGTGGGAAAGAGAAAGGGGTGGGGTGTTCCTGTTGCTCTCTCAGTAGCTATCAATTTTTGCAGCGCCAGTGGCTCCCGTAAGCCCTTCCCATGCGCCTTTCCCCCTTTATCCTCATTTTCCCTCTCTTTCCCTCTCTCAATCTTTCCCCAAGTCTGATGTAGTTGATGGTATTTTGGGGATGGAAAGATCTGACTATCTCTCCACATTCCCTTTCTCTTTCTTCCCATTTACATTCTTGGCTAGTCTCCAAAAACATCATCATGGCTTTTGTTTCAATTTGTCCTAAAAGATAGGCTATCTGTTTAGCTCCTTCTGAGATTCTGACATGTTCTTTTACATTCTCAGTTATTTGGCAGCAGGTAAGTCCCAATAAGAATACGGTATTCATGATCCAAAGCATGGCATAAATCACCACTTGGGGATAATTCCCTTTGGAGAAGTCCGGTCTTCTTGAGGGAAAAAAAAAAAAGAAAGAAAGAAAAGGAAAAGACCCTTTACATCTTTAGGTTCAATGTAGTTTCTTTACTTTCACAAACGTATACTGAATTCTCTAGATCAGAGGATAATTTGGGGTTAGTCAAAAGTCCAGATGAGTTGGAGTTGATGGCTGAGACGATAGTTTAAAACATTGTCTTCTCAACATTTTTTGTATTCACAGTTCAGTGTGACATGCTAGATTTTGTGCCAGCACACTTGGAGAGATTTAAATACACTTACTGGACTAAGGAACCACACTGGCTAAATCACAAATAATTATAAAACTGTCATTTTTACAGCTACAGCAATGTCTTGCGATGTCCATACCAGCATCATTGTACCTTTCGCCCTCCTTCATCACAGTTATTGAGAAAACTGTGTGCTGCCTGGCCAGGCCAACAGCGTCTTATATACCTGGCAGAAACGTCCTCAAGTATTTTAGTATGCATGGCATCTTTGGTGCTAGCTTGACAATATATCATGCTACCTGCCTCTTACCTCTTACTAGTAGCCAAGTCATATCTCTTCTGTGTTACATCTCATGATACGTTCAGCTTACTGTGTCCCCTGACTACCCATCACCATAACCNTAAAGATGTCCAAATGAGATCTGAATGCTTGTATGTTTATTCTCATGAATGCTCAGCCCTGGTGTTTCTTAGGGAGGCCAGGGTTCTGAATGTATGTCCCATTTAGTTCACTGGGTTTTGTTTTTTCAAGAACACTTCACTGTAAATATGTGTATTGGTCACAGGAGACGAAGAGATAATAAACGTGGGTGAGTACAGATCTGCCTCCTGACTCAGACGTGGCTCAGCGTAGTTGTCTGTCCTGCCACCGTCTTACAAGGAGGACAGCATAATTTCATGATACTGGCCTGTGGTGATTAGCACTTCTCTTGTGAAATATGAATTGGCTTGTAGAGTAGCAATTCTGACCATCACTAAATTTTAAATACCCTAGATCTAGCATTTTCTTCTGGGTATGTAATTTTTTTTTTAAGGCAAAAACACTCCTTTGTGCTTTGACGATGTAGTGTCAACCATTTAGACCATTCCCTATGAACTATCTGGTATGAAAGGTATAACCCCCCCAGTTCCCCTGTTATAACAGTTCATTCAGTTTCATCCTATTAGGGATTTGCAGAATTTATTGATTTTATAGACCCTGGCACCCTCCCTAGGAGGGAGCTGCAGAACCAGTATTAAAAATTATATTTTGGTAATTGATACAGCAAATATTATCTATATCTTCTACATAAAATGTTTTGATGTTATGTTCACAATATTCCTATAGATTTTAAAAGTTTAGGTAGTCACTGAAATTGGATACAGAAAAAGTATGTGTTAAGTCACGTGTTTCATCCCTAAGCGAAAGAAAGGATGTGATGTAAGCTACAGTATATTTTTCAGTGTTATCACCCTGATTTTTCATAACTAATGTAAGAGGAAGTGTGTATAGTCTAATCTCCCTATCACAACATTTTCTGAAATATGAATTCATTATCAATCTGATAGCTCCTTGAAAACAAAAGTTGTATTTTTTTTAACAGTCAGTAAGCACTATTGACTTAGTAATGTTTAGATTTAAATGTGATTTCTTATTTTCTTCTCATGAGTCACTTATTATTCTATTCTTCTACCACATTGCTCTTCTCAGTTACTTTCCTTGCTCTCAGATATTTGAGGAAATTGCAGTTACACTGATATCCTTTAAAAATTTTAGAAGTTTAGAAGCCTGAGTATATGTTCAATATGTACTTTAAAATACCCACTTAATTCTCCTTTTCAATTTGAACACATAAAATATGTTTCCCCCATACAAATGAATAAAGCAATGTGCATAAAAATGTCATGTGGATTGTAAAGAGTTAATAACACGTATTTGTAATTCTTTGTTTAGGTTAGATTGGGATGGTATCCGTAAGCATTTGGATGAATATGCGGCTATTGCGAGTTCCTCAAGAGGGGGAAGAATTGGAATTGAAGAATTTGCAGAGTATTTAAAGTTGCCTGTTTCAGATGTCCTGAGACAACTTTTTGCACTCTTTGACAGGGTATGTTAAAATTTGATCTTTAACGTGCAAACATTTTTATGTTCCCTGCAGAGCATCAATATGGCAGGTAAGAAAAACTCGTTAGGTCAGTTTNTGAGCAGTAGCTGTTGGCGAAATCACGTTTATCCTCAAAAAGCCAGATCAACTACTGGCTCTTCTGTGGCGCCCCTTTGGCTGCTTTTCCCCGCCCCCTGGCCAATTGAATCCTTTCCTATTCCCGCCTCTCCTACCCCAGGAAGGATGGGTTAGTGGGGAAAGCAAGGGCGTTAAACCTGACAGACCTTTGACTGAATCCTGGCCTTGTGACCTGTATGACTTTAAGTAAGTTAATTAAGCTTTTCAGCCCTACCTGTAATTGGGGTAATAAGAGTAGTGATACTTAGCACGTGGGATCTCGCTGTAGCCTATTAAAATGTCTTCTTTAGAATAGGAATAGGGTCCTATTGATCTTTCCTGGTATATAGTAGATGCCCAAAAAGTCATGACTTAAATATGGTACAAAACCTTGTTAGTGTTAGAAGACTATAAATAAAAACAAGGACAATACAAATGAGCCATTGCAGAATATCAACTGGAGGAAAGAAGTAAAACGTTAAATGATGAGGCAAAACATGGTATTGAGGAACAGCGAGAACGCCAGTACTAAGGGTTAAAAACAAAAGCAGATGAATTGACAAAACATGAAGTGTGATAAATGATAAAAAACATGGCTGATATAGGAATGGAGAGAGAAGGTTATAAAAGACAAAGTAATACTAATAATAACACTTCTACACAAAGGGGTGGAGAATGAGATGTTAGTAGCTGCAGCTTTATAACTTCCAGGATCCCAGACACTGGCTCATTTCATCCTCACCACAACCAGGGAAGCAGGTGGTCAGAGCCTTCCTTGCAGAGTCGAAGAGACGGTGCAGAAACATTACTGAACATTCTAGTTAACAGTCAGGGAGACCCGGGGTTTGGAGGCAGATCTCCCGAGTCCGAGCACGGTATCCTTTCCATTACATCATGTAACCGATGGGCTAGAAAGGTGGGCTTCATTGAGTGCTAGATCGCTTATTAATTAATGTATTGAGCATTTAATGGCTGAGGCCTACCGATTGTTATAGAAAAGTGTATTTGTCTTTCAGTTTATGCCTGTTCAAGTACCAAACGATGAAGAAAAAAGTGATCCTGTCCTTTTTGCTGGCAGAGTCCGGAATCTGATGGCCGAGTATGTGTCTGTATGTGATCATAGTCGGTAGATAGATCAATGGAGCATTCTGAGTAAATGACATTTAACATAGCTTTAAGGTTTGGGGNAACAAATGGGCCCGTCGGAGAATAGATGGGAGATATGTGAGTGTGATAAAGTCTGTCTGCGTGTGTCAACCTCTAGCCTCCTCGCTATTGGTAAGAGTCCGTCCCCTGTTGGATGAATCTCCCCAGGAGGAGATTTATGACAATTGAGTTCCTTTTGGAGGCTCTGCCTTTAGGAAGATGAGGGAGTTCAGGGGAAGCCTCTCCCTGTATTTGTGGTTCTCAAGTGCCTGCAGTTCAGAATAATCCATATACCAACGTGGAGTGTTGTGGGGTGGCGTGCCTTGACCTCCTTCACTGTCTTCTTTCTAAAGTTGAAAGTAAAGTGCCATTGAGATGAAAGAGGAACTGCAACCTGAGAAGCATGGACTGGGTTGAAACGTAGAATATGATGGCAGCAGATCAAAAAGGGACGTAGCACGGCTGCCAGGCAGCAGTTGAGGTGAGATCTAAATTAAGCAACTTGATCCTCACCCATCTCATAGACATTAAGGATATGGACTCAGAATTGAAAAAGAGTATTTTGGCACACCTGCAAAGAAAAAGGAAGATCTCCAGCAAAAAGAAAGCAAACAAAAAACTATTTTTATATTTTGTGGTCACTGGTCAAAATAATAGTTTTCAAGCAGCTATGAGGACCCTGTGGGAGTTAACATGGATTTGTCGTAGCCTCAACCCATGTGGTTTTGTACCTTTCTGCAGCACCCCTCAGCAGTCTGGAATAGTAGTGGGGTGACAGGACCACGAGAGCTGACTGAGCATTTGTGCTCAGCGCCATGGGTGTGGCAGAAGCGAGAGATTCTGGGTGACAGACAGGCCACGTGGAAGTAAGTGTCTGACTCCCTAAGACCAGTGTAGATGGGCAGACATGCTGCAGGAGGCGCTGGATGAAGAGAGACAAGTAGGTCCTGGGAGTGCCCCTCAGATTCGCATAGTCTGGGGCAGACTCGGTTAGGGGAGAAGTAAGCCCTCCGTGAAGGGAAACTCGAACTAAAGAACTTGTCGGAGAGATTAGAGTCGTATCTTCGTTTCCATGGCCGAAGTGGAGCTGAGAAGGGTAGCTGTGGCCAGGTGAAGGGGCTGTGAAACCAAGATGTCAGCTGGGCTATCAGGGTGGCTACTGCGTATACTGAGAGAAGATGAAGGCAGAAAGGAAACTTGGGGTCCTGAAGTCGCTGGGGTGTTTTAGACGTGTCTTTGGGGACAGTGATAGATAATGGCCGTCATGTTTCTCTCTTTTTGGTCGATCTTCCCTCCCAAACAACGGGTATGTTCGTGCTGTGAGCCTTGAATGGCTTTGTGAAACATGGAAATGTGCCACAGAGGGCAAGGTCATATCCAAGGAGAGGTGACTTTTTATTAGAATTTCCATTGCATTGCTTCTCAGGAGGCCTGGGGGCCTCCAAGGCCCATGAGTGCCAAATCCAGACTTTTAATTATTTTGTCCTCTCAGTGGAATGCTTTTCCTCAAGAATGAAATGCCATGCCAATATGAGAGTTATTAAAAATCATTTTATGGAAAGTATTACCTACAGTAAAAGAACCAAACCCGTAGTTCATTGTATTATGTTTGGTTAACAGTATAGCTATAATTTATTTTTCAGGGAGTTTCAGTATGTTCTTTTATGACCTGCAAATCAAGTGTATTATAAATGATCATTTGACTTTTTTAAAAATTGAAGAAGTATATGGCAATTTAAAACTTTATTATATACTATTTTGTTAGAGATTTTATGAACATTGATTTTAACATAGTGTTTTCTTCCTTGGATTTCGTACGAAGCAAATATAAGAGATTTTACCAGAACAGGATGGAAGGAATTTTTAGCCATCTGCAGATTATTGCTCTGGATATAGAAGTGATGTGGGGACCTCTGGTGGCTTAGTTTA